ACAGCGTTGTTTGTCACATCTACTTGACATAACGTTCGCGCGGGAAGGAGAACAATATAAGGTAAGTACCAATAATTATTAGTTCATTTTTAAAAAAGCGCAATTTTCTCGTTACTCTACTGCTGTTCTGTTGTTTTGTTTTTTCTGTTTCGCCTACGCATTAGACAATTGCATTTTGAAACTCATAACAGTCGACAATTATGTCAGGTAGGAGCCTCCCCTTAATAAAATAAACTCTATCATTAAGACGACGTTCAGTAATCGGTGTTTAATTCTATTTACGACCAGCAGCCGCCATCGCAGCACTTGTTAGCAAATACAGCGTCGTAAAAAGGTTTGCACTTCCTTATTACATAGTATTTAGCTTCGGGTAACTTGAACTCTGTATATAGGTGTAACGTTGTGAAGGCATTTAGTACAGCTGATTTGGAATGTTAATTATCTAACAAGTTACCTATTTTGAATCACATTTAAGAGGTAAAGCAGCCTGTTTGATGTTATCTATCCATATTGATTCAAATATCGTAATCCTTCTGAATAATTTTTAATGTAATTATATGATTTAGTGTTTTTTCTCTGGTTCTATAGACTAAATACTTTTGTTTTTTCCTACAATGTTACAAACAAAAAAAAAGTCAATTAAGTTAAACGTGAGCACAACAAAAACCAACTTATACGTACAATAGCAAACAAAGATATAAACGCAAACGGACAGATTTACAAGCCGTAACTCATCAGCCGTCAAGATTTACGAGTGTTATCCCCATGAGATTTAAGTTACAAATGTAAACTGCGCTCTAACATCAAATTATAAAAGTTGCAGTGCAAACTTCGAAAAGTACAGAAAGCATGATATCGTCAAACGCCATTGGAAGATAACATAGTTGTACTATTGTTACAAAAGTTGGACTTGGAGTGAGGAGCGTATTGTACTCTATGCCCTGCGCCCTTTGGACTGTAGAGCAACGCTGATCGTCAGTCGCGCCATAAGAGCAGTGACCGCGCGATGTCGACGCGAATGGCGCCTGTATATGAACGTTGATTTCTGATTTTTCAATTAAAATGATTTCTAGTTTTGAATAAAAAGTAGTTATTGTCTAAATACGCTTAACAGTTCTAAATACCGTGAATTAGTGGCAAATAGAGAATTAAAAAAAAGTACATATTCATCAAGATGATGAAAATTTTGTTATTGTTGTTATGTATGTTGGTTGATGGATTTGGGTTGCACAAAAAAAAATGCACTTTATTTATAACAAAAACCTCTAACAGTAATTTACTAAGCGACCTAACATCTTGCGTTGTTAGAGGGTTCGGTCGAGACGAGACAATAATTAATGTCCGATTTTGGACATGACAGTGAGAGTATTGTCGTGTTTGTCATAGATAGATTCGATTTGCGTTAGTTACTTGATTTAAATTAGCCATAGCATATGTTGTATCATCGATAATGATTGGCCCATTTTCTAAACAAGAGCTAGCTCCAAGGAATTATTGAATAGCATCATGGTTACCCTAGTGCTAACCGAAAGGTCGAGAAGTCGACACCCACGGTCTGCGAGTGCACGCCGACTTTTATTACCATTGTTGTTTACGAGTATTTCTACAGGATGATGCTTAGTGCTTGCAATTTTAAATGTATTTGTTGTGATATTTTCATCTTCTACTTAGTAATGAAAGCTGCATGTGTCTATAGTTTATGTAAATTAGGGTACGATTGTAGAATTCTACTAAATATAATGCTATTTTTTGCTAAATCTTCGCGTAACTACCATGAAAGTGAAAGTTTGTACGTGTACCTAAGTTGTTATAATACAGAAAAGTGAAATTAGCTAATTTTAATACTCATGAAACGAAATGCAATTTGATTAAGTAGCCACCAAAATATTCATGAGCTTGGATTACAAAATTGCAGTAATAGTTAATAGTAGAAACATAAATCATAGAATACTTGCTACAACCTACACGTTATAACCAGTACAGATGTAGAGAGTGGAGTGGGCGAGTGAACGTTCCTATGAATGTGTGCTGCTGGCGCTAAAATTCCGACTGATTATGATTTGAACAGTGGAGGTGATAGAATTATTTAATTTGATAGACATGTTTGTTAATTATAATTAACTTTGGATACGATAATATTTACAAACAAACGCATTCAATTCAAATTCTTCTTGAGAGACTTATTTCACAAGCTTTAAAAATGTCGCATTTATATTGTAGGTTATTTTAAAAGGTTTTATCGCGCCTGCCACATCCATCTGTAGCTAAAGGCACACGAGGGATGCATTATTTATAAGGGACGTGCAGTCGAAACCAGATATAGTACCCATTGATTTATCCATACGAGAGCTACAAGAGGTGCCTGCGCCCGCGCACGAGCTAGTCGCCTTCCTTCAGAAGCGGAAGCTATTTATTGATATTTGGATCTTATTTGTTATGGTTTAAAGCTGATTTTACAATGTACGATGATACTGTATTCTAGAATGTATATTTAAGACGAGTAAATTATCTGCCGCGACTTCTTGTATCAATTACAATTAAAGTTATAGTTTAAAGTAGATATAATATCTTAAATGGGCGTAAGATGACTCTTTGTAAGGACTAAGACAGTATGCTGTATTGAATTCTTTTCGTGTTACCAGATTTCTTGAGAATACGCAGCGATTCGTATGTTGATTACGGTAAAAAATATACGAAAGTCGAAAGTGAAATTTGAATATTGTATACTTCTGTTTTGAATGCCGGACTGCAGAGACGAAGTAACATTGTAACCGCAGCGCCGTGAGGTTCGCATACCCGCCCCCAATGACTTTACAAATCACACTTTCACTATCAAATTTTACTCTTTTCCTTAACCACAATCAGTCGACACAATGAAATATATTTCCCACACGTTTATCTTGATTTGAAGATAATTGATAAAATGATTGCAAAACTCATTGTTACATTTTATTGCATAATTCTAGAATTACTGAAAATTTTAAGGTTATAATTATCAGAAGTGTGATAAATTTAATTAATGTTAAAAATGGATGATGTCGGATACTTAAAATTTCGTGAGAATTATCCGTGTGCCTGCTTGTCATTACCTCTCTGATGTAACATGGGTTGGCAGCGAAACTCGCTGATTATTCGTCAAAAATACCTCGTTACCTGCACCCGGTGTTCAAATTGTCAACGTAACTAACTTAACTTAATAAATGACACATTTTCATAATATTTTATTTTAAACTAACTTTCGCCTGCGACTCTGTACGCGTGGAATTAAAAAAGCTAAAGTCGGTAGCTTATATGTTCTTCCAGACCATTGTCTGCATCTACCAGTATGCCAAATTGAATCCCATTACAAATACGATTTTTTACATGATGATGAGTTCGGCTAACATAAGACATCGCTCAAGTCTTAATATGATATTAATTTCAATCTATAAAATTAAAAACTTTTGTAATTAAGCAGCATTTTACCGGTCATGAGCTTAAAAGTGATTATATAATTACTGATGACAGACATTTTTCACGTAAGGTATGTGTTCCAGCGAGCGCACGGCTGTCTTGTTAGTTATATCCGGAGCGTAATGTACAGCGATCTTCATTAGGGAACACATTTAGCAAATGACACATTATAAGACCGGATAAGCGGTTTATCAGAGATGTCCTACCGTTTTATTGCTATACTACTGTAACTTAATATCCTTCAAGTGTATGGCTAAAGCGAGAATATTCTGCAATTAAATGGTAGAAGGGTTGCGTATTAGGATTTTTTTCATATGCTCAGATTTTCAGATCCTAGCACTTTCGATATTTACTTAAGTTCGACTAACAATATTGTGACATGGAAGAAAAACTATTCTTAATTACTATTTTCTGGATCGGCGATTACATTGTCTCGATGATTAAGATTCGAGCACTTTCTATCGACAGATTGGCCTGTATTCGGAAAGATGCTTCCCATCGATAGTCCGATGTAGAAAGTGTGCTCCCGCCCCCGCCCCCGTGGCACAACAATGGCCCCTGTCGCAACACACGTCAGAGCGGACGATTTGTTGTGCTCTATCGCCGCATCTGTGCAGTCTCATACTGTGTTAAGATCCTAATCAAACTTTACTAGGGGTACCGTTAACACTATATAAAGATAATATCGAGTCATGAAATCAAGTGGGCCACCATCTGAAGCTAACGTGACATGATTGAAAGACCGAAATGGAAGATATTTTAGAGGTTACGTTTATACAGAACAAATAAAGTATAGGAGATAGAATATGACGGCGGCCACTGAATAAACAATTTTTTCTTTGTTTTTGGATTATGTTTGGCAACCCTCGTAACGACCCGGTTTCCATGGCGGCCACGTCTTCACACGATGCCTATCGGAGGAGTTTCAATGGAGCCGCGCGTCCGGACAACAGATTACTGTGTAATTGTTTCTGCTGATTGTTCTGATAACGTGTGTTTGTTAAATAATTAAACGTTGGATTTTTTTTCAATTGAACATGATGGTTTGTAAAGTCGTCTGTCTTAGTTAATTACGTTCATTTTACTTTGTTTTCTTTACAAAATAATTGTATTGATAAGAAACGTGTGAGATATTTCGTTAGTGGGGTGGTACCTGTACAGTGTGTTGTCTTGCCGTGCGGCGGCGCTGGCGTGCTCGATGAGAAGCGCGAGCGCGCGCGCCTGCTCGCCCAGCGACAGCAGCTCCAGCTCCTCGCGCCCCAGCCGGTACTGCAGCTCCGCCTGCTCGATGCGCGAGTCGATGCTCCTGACACCAACAACCACTCATGTCACACCGTCAACACAATACGTCAAACATCATTACTTACTCCTAAAATTAAACTTTACTACTTACTGGAATCAGCGCACAATGGTGAACATATACCTAAAACTTATGGCACGTGAATATATATATCACTTTCAATTGATTTGTTGCCGTCTAACGAATTTTTATAAAATCTTAAGAGCAGGACCCTCGCGATACAGGCTGCGTCTAGTGTGGGGGTACTGATTACTACAGATAATCATTTCTATTGTATCCACAAACAATGTTCTTTACCTTCTATGTATTTATATTGTTGGATTCAATTTTTTTTTTATTTTTATTGTCTTTCATTATGTAAATCACTTACTCAGTGACATGTGTGTGCTCGAGCCGCTTCCGGAGCTCCTGTATGTTGTCTTGTCGCGCCTGCAGGTCAGCGTTGAGCGCGGCGGCGCGGTCTTCCAACGCGCACCGCTCCTCCGCAGACAACGCGGCGGGCTCCTCCCGCCCCCGAGGCACCCGCGCTCCCCGCACTCCGGCCGGCGACGCCGCCTGCGCAGCCAGCCGCGCTGCGCTTAGTGACGCACTTAGTTGCTTCTTAAGGCTGTTAGAAGTTCATCTCATCAGCGTAACCTTGTAAATCGTAATGTAAAAATGTTCTAAAGCGGATTGACGCATTTCTTACTTTTGTATGAGTGTGTCCTTGTCTAGCAACGCGGCGCGCAGGGCGTCCAGCTCGCGCGCTCCCCCGCGCCGCCCGCACCCCGCCAGCGACACCTCGATGCTCGCCATCTAACAAACAGTAAATTATCAGTGATTACTAAATTAATTTTCAGCTAAAAAAGGACAAATAAGGAATAACAAGCTTGATACTAACAAGTTTAATGTCTCAATATTGTTATTACAAATTTTAGTTAATTTACTTACTAAGAATTAAAAATTAGTTACAATTTTTTAGGGCTTTGCGTATTGTATGTAAAAAGTGATTTAAGGGACAGAAGCCCACGTATTGGACATCGTGTTCGTAATAACAGCAAGCTGATTATGCGAATTAAATCGAGTGCACGACGCTCTGATCTCGACAGCGAAATTGTCTGTTATTATTATTAATTATTAGAAAACGTTTAATGTTGTCGAGTTTAACGAGCGGTCATTTGTGTAATAACATTTGCGCGAGCAGCGTGGAACGACACAACACGCGTTAGTGAAATGCGTTGCTACTTGAATTTAGATAATTACGTATTAAATTAAAACCAATAAAATAAACCTTCATACGGCGAAATGTAAACCAAGCATAAAAGTAGATGTAAAAAAAACAATAAACATAGACTGGAATCGGAATTCTCTTATCGGTTTATCTTAATGACGAATTGTTTCCTAGCGACGCTGTGAGGGAGTTTTTTTATATCGAGTCGTAAATATGGTGTGTGAACGATATAACGAGTAGGTAGGGGATATATTACTTCATCTCAGTAATTGTTAACACAGCTTGTCGCTAGATGTCGCTAGATGTCGCTGGGTGTTCATTCTTCGTGATAAATAGCTGATAATAGTAGCCCAAGTCTGATACGTTGGTATCTAGGGCTGCGAGAAGCAAAATAATTCTAAGCAATAGTTTGAAACAAAAAATTGAAATTGAAAAAAATGCTCAGTTGGAGAACTCAGTTGTATTTCTAATTTCTATGTAAAGATCTATTCTTATAATATAGTTTATTTTAACATTGGAGTTGTCATTAAGTCTATTGCTACCTTGAAACCCCTTTTTGAATGGGTTTTAAATATATTTTTACATAACTGTATACAATTAAGAGGGAACTAATAAATATTGCTGACTGAGGGTTATTATGTAACGAATTTCATTTATGATATATTAACATTTAAATGTCAGTTTTACGTCACAATAGATTCATTTTAGAAACCGTTATTTTTACGAGCAATGCGACCGACCGGTTGGTCAGCCCTGGCCGGTCGGGCTTGCGGCCCCTATCGCGGTGCATCTGACGTAAGCTTGATGTATGTTCAATTAATTCACAGCTATCTGTACATCTCTCCTTCATTCCACACATTAAGTCGTTACAGAGAGAACAAACTTATTAATTAAAGATCAAATGTCTATGCAGCTAAAAGAGGAAGATTTTACGCTTTTTATTTTGTTTTATACCGTTTTAACTAATATCAAGTGAAATATGTAACCTGTAACAACGGATCGCTAAATAAAAACTATAAACCTCGTTTGTAATAGTTATTTAATTACGCTATTGGGCAATTTCATTTCCTTATACTTTATTATAATAAACCTCCATGAAGCTAGTCACCTTTTAACTGTCAAGAAATACGTTGAAACGTTTGTACTAGGCGAGTTTAAGTACTTTCTATTAACAGACCATGAATTATTGCTATCCATCTCAACATGTTTTAAATTAAACATATCGAAATGATTGCTCAGTATTTACTGCTTCCTGCACAGGCGCAGGTATATAACGTAAATAATGATAGGGTGAGAAGGCACTGCACATGTACAGTGGCGGCTGTTTTATGACCTGGCCACTACCCACGGTGTGTGAGAACTGTTAAACGGTAGCTCACAACTGACCACTGATTTGCACATCTTTGGTGTGGCGCAGAAATGATTTCTTGGATGTTTTATGTATTATTTACAGATTGTTGTTTAACAAAAAAATTCAACCCTGTTGACTTTTTACTGCTCCGTATTATAAAAATAGCATAACAATAGAATCCGGTTTTTATGCAAAACTGTTATCAGTAATTGTAACTTATTTTCTCTTGGTTCATCACTAAAGTGCGCCCACTTACTACGCCCAGCTCAAAGTTCACTCTACGATCGTGGGCAAGTAATGTGCCCAGCGCTGGGCGTAAGCGTGGGCGATCGTTAGCGCTGTTTCCTGCCGCCACGCTCCGTTCCGCTCGGCGGCGCGCGCGCAAGGTGACGCCGCCACTTCACCGCACTTGACTCACATGCGACAGTACAAGTAGAAAATGATATAACTAAGTAGCATTTGTTGACACACTTTATCTTCAGAACAATTTTTGGCATTTATTAGACTCTCGTTAAGTGTCTAATTTGATATTTTTAATCTTACTAATAATAGAAATATTTACTAAACATAAGGATTTGTAAATTGTACATAGACACCATGTACGAGAAATACGGGTTTAGTATGGTAAGGAGTGATTATAGTCATTAAAAAGTAATTCCTTGTAAGTCATCCTTGTTAACTTCGCTTGTTGCTTAAGTTAAACACTTATTTCATGTTCTACGATCAAGAACCTCAGATGTTTAATATAAAAACCCATACAAGTCCAGATAAAGCAACTTAGAAGACGCCGCGTTGGTTTTTTAGCTAAAAGTCTTGTTTTTAACGGAACGGATAGATTCCATATATTCATGTGAATTTCAATATAATTACTTAAAAAATTAAATTTAATTATAAAAAAAAAATCGTAGTTAGTATTTAGTTAGATCAAAACTATAATTATTTTTTTATATAAAAACATCTACTTTTAATGTATATATCATGTAAAAATAATGTTTCTATTATATAAATTACACGGCGATCTTTGAATTTGAAATAAATAGAGGTTATTGCACTAACAGATGAAGAAGTAAAATCGTAATGATTGTAAATTATTTCAATAACATGTTTTGATATCTCTTTCGATAATCAACATATTTGCATACGTTTTCATACATATGTACAGTGCGGTATGAGAATGTATGAAGTTGTATGCAAATTATGCAGATAAGTGAACTCCCGTAGGTTCTGCACATTGCAGATATTATATCAATTGGAATATTTTGATCTTTGCAGTTTAATTTTGCCTTTAATAAGTATCACATTATAATAATAATAATAATAACAGAAGTCAATGAATGTAGAGATTTTATTCTCAATTTTTATTTCATATTTCCTTGAGTCAATAAAATTCAGTAAGTAAACATTAAAACACATTTCAAACAGGACAATAATCAGAATTTCGGAGTGTTATTAAATTATTATTGGTTTATTAGCTTTCGCCCGCGACGCCATCCGCGTTGTATTAAAAAAAACCATGTAGCCTATGTATTCTTCCAGACTATCCTCTACATGTATGTATGCCTAATTTAATTGAGATCCGTTCAGCAGTTTAGGCTACAAATTCTAACAAACATCCATCCATCTAAACTTTCGCATTTATAATATTAGTATGAAGTACGATAAGTTAATGCAAATGAATTCCACAAAGTCAGTGTTGCCATTTTCAAGTTTTCCATATATACCGCGATACTCTTACTATAGGTTAATAAACCGCTTTATCAACGTTTTATAAAATGTTGCCAGTTGCGCACAAATTAGTTATTCTTCGCCATATTTTACAGCGCAACCAGTCTGCTATCAAACGCTAGTTTATGTTACAACATGACTCTATATTGATTACTTTGACCGAAGGACTGCTTGTCGTAAACATTTCTTACTCACAAAGTTTATACCAACATATTGAATTATTTAGGCGATATCTTCTACCATTAACCTTAAAAATGTACCCGATAACTAATTCAGTTCAATTTTTGTTATGTATATTTGTGCAAAAATGTTTTTTAATGTTAAATAGTAAATAGTAAAAGTGATGCATGGTTGGCCGTGGGGGCCAGTTCACCGACCTTCGCCTCCAGAGTGTCGAGGTCGACGACCCCGCCCGTCTCCAAGGTTTGCTGCAACAAAGGATGATATTATTTCTATGCTTATGGTAATTGGAGCAACAGCAAACCTCTGCCGCTGCCACAAGCTGCAACAGTATCATTTCTGTGTTGGGTGTTAATAACAGCTGCATAGTGCTAAATGCTTTGGATGTTACTGCTTTATTTGTATCAAAATCATCTTAGAATAAGTAATAGTTATAAGTCAATACTGCTCTTCAAAATAAACATTTTAATACGGTCCTGATGGAAAGATGATTATTGTCTTAAAAATGTTATACTTAATTACTTTCATATAAAGTTCCAAGTTATACAATTACATTCAGTCCCTGACACATTAACTATTTTTTTCTCATCATTCCACTGACTCCATAAATGTATACTTTTTGTAAATACGCTCATTAAGTGTACATTTTCGACAAATAACCGTTTCTCATGTTTTTATTTCTTAATCATACATAATTAATTACATTTAAACACGTACGATGCCAAAAAAGTAACTGACACGCGCCGTACAAGATTCCTTCGGCAATGTACAGATTCTGAGACCACACAACTGAATAAGGCTCAGTGAAGCGAACAGAGCTTATAGGTTACGACAATTACTAACGCTAATTTATTTTAAAAAAAGATTCGGTTAACTAATTAGCCTATTAGACAGAAAAAAATACAAAAGTATCGTAGCTGGATCTATTTAACAGTTTCATAGCAGGGGTCCCGTTTAAATCGATAATTTTATCTTTTAAGCCCTGGTTTTACACGAGGGCAGAAACTTGTGGAGTGAAATACTACAATCGTTTAAATGCACACGCTAAGACAGGAAAACATCGTTGCACCTCGTTCTGTCCTCGTGTTCAAAAAGCATGATTTCAGCGTTTCGGCGCTTTAAAGCCATGTGACGTAGAAGCGGCGCGGGCGTTGCGTTTCGTCGGTTTTTCGTCACAAATAATCGACGTGGAGCGATTGTAATCCTCGTTATACGCTCGTTAAATGGTTCATTTGGCCGAGAAAATTGCCTCATTTCGTTCTTTTATTCTATAATTAAGGCGTGCTGTGGTTAAAAGCAGCGAAAGAAAAGAAAATCAGTAAGTATTCAGTATAAAATCATTTATTTATTGTTCTAAACATACGTAAGGATAACTGTCCTATACGGTTAACTATGTAACCGGTAATTCATGGTGCTAAAATAAACAAGCTACTTGTAGTGGTTGATTAGGTGGTGCGAAGGCTGAGGCGGTGGGTGTGCGCAGGCGCAGCTCTGACGAACTTACATCATTACTTTCGAGTCTAAATTATATTTTGTAATATAATTGTAATTGAATGAATAGAATAGAATACATAAGTACTATAAGTAAAGAAAAAATAAGACAAATCCCGCTCACTTGTCCTCGCCCTGATCAAGCGAGGTGTGAGGTCAGGGTAGGAGATCTCGTGTCTCCTTTGTCGATTGCGTTCAACCACAACATGACTGGACTAGATAAATAACTTGTTTCATTTACTTAAACATAAAAACAAATGTAATAATCATTGTAGATAAATGACCGAATTATTAGTTTAGTTGTTATAATTATGATGTGATCATTTATCGCGGCGATTTAAACATAACGGAGTGTTTTTAATCGACTTTTGGTGAGTATTAGGCGGCGGATCCAATCCCCTCACCCCCCGGCTGACTCGGCGCCGACAACGATGCCGTTTGCTCGGAACAAACGAGATCTTCCCACACTAACGTTACGATTCTTCCGGTTAAGGTGCAATTAAAACATTCCTGTTTCAAATCATAAATAGAGAGACTTTTAGTTAATCGACAAATAGATCAGCCGTCAACATTTGATTTTCATTATAATATTTTTATACGCCTATTATTAGAGAGAGAGAGATTATAGTTTTTCTTAATGACAAAGCGTTTACACGCTTATATTTACTCACCAGGGAGGCAGAGCGCTGCTTGTTGTTGAGCTCCTGCTGGCTCCTGCGGTCGTCGCCGGCGTCCGACAGCTGTCCGGACTTCCGCGAACTGTGCACAATTATGACCAATAGTTGTTATTTATGAATAAAAATAAACTCTATATTTAATTTTTTAAAGTCGATATAATGTAGGCTTTTATTATACTTGATCTGTTTCTACTCTTTGTCTGTTAAATCTTGTTCTAATAATCATAATGCATGTAATTTCTGTAGTGTTGTGTGACCGCGATGTGCAGCGTGTCGGCCGCGCTCACCAGAGTGCGACACATGCGCGCTTCGCTGTTGCGTTTCTATCTCGGTTTCGTTTTAATTGCATACAGAGAAATTGCAAAGGAACTAAGATAAAAGTGTTAGTTATCACTTGTTTTTCAACATTGAAAAATAACACCTACATTTGTAGATACATGTAAAGGTAAATAATTATTTTACACTCTACCTAAATAACACATCGGTCTGTTAGTTACTTGGGTTTTAAAATTGATTTTCTCAGATAGTTATAATTATGAAAATTGAATCTATATTTTCGATCGATTTAGCTTAAGGTATTAATAGACCAGGTTCCGAGCGGCCACACAGCGCAGTATTGTATCTGATAATTGGCACTAAGCCGTACAAGTTTTAAAAAATCCTGACCACTCGATAATCCTAGAGATAACTCCGCATTAAGCGCTTTATGACAACTTAAAGCGGGTTTAGAATGATCGAGGGCGTCAAGAGAAGTGTTTAAGTAGGCAAACAGGATCATACATCGTAGTTTATTATCATAGTTGTTCATTCATTTAAGTATGCAGTGCCCCTAGAGGATTAAAGTAAATGGAAAGAAAATCTTCATTATATGGAAGAGAATAAAAACCCTGCATTAGTATAGTTTTCCTTGTATTTAATTGCCTTGCAATATAAAGGTATTGCTAAGAGGTTATTTTATGCGAATTATTTGCGTAATTCGAGTATAGAAAATAAAATATAACCTTACGTGTGAACATTTATTATTACCAAGTGGCTGACTGCGCGGAATATCTTTATTGTTTGTTGCTTATAGAACTTGTTGGGCAACTGTATTCAGGCGTTAACTATTGTTGACGCGAAACTCAAACCATTGTTGTCGATATAAGAAGTTGATTAATAGAAGTGAGGAAAAAACTAAATACGAACATATTTCGCAACGCATTGTCAGTGATAAGGATACAAGGCTTAGCTATTATTAATCTCTTGGGACAGTAACGGTAAATAATAAATGATTTTTGAGTAATCTATATTAATATTATAAAGAGAGAAAGAGAATTGAAACCGATTTCAAAAAGCTAGTGTCTACATAAGGTGGATAAGTAGATAGAAGGTATCGTAGTATTATAATGTGTTTATTGTAGCGTGCGTGTGTGGGTGTGTGTGTGTGTTTGTGAGTGGTACCTGGCCAGCTTGCGGTGCGCACGCCGGCCGCCGCTGATCATTGACAGCGTACTCATCACCGCTGACATCGTGACCACACACACCGACCATCTGTCCTGCAAATAAACAACATTTTAGTAATTTGCTTATAACCGGGCATATAAAAATGTTATATACGACTATCGATTGGATTAAGATAATCTAATTTTGAAGTAATAACACGACACACAGACCATAAGATCGGACGCTCACCGTTGACTCAACTTTCGCACAACAGTTGTGCGACTGCCGATTGTTTCTAAACTCAAAGCGCAACTAAACAGTAACGATAAGAGACATTATCTAACTAAAAAGGTATTTGTTTAAGATCATTTATTACTACATACTAGTACTATACAAGCAATAAAACTTAAAATTCAAATGTAAATCTTTCTTAATTAAGAAATCCGATAGTATCAATGATTGTAGGCAACCTTCACCATATCATTTGTGAACTGATGCATTGTCCCGATCTCTTTGGATCGGATTACATTTGATTCGGATCCCAATGAGTGTCGGATTGCTGTTAAATATTTTGCAACTCGAGTGCACAAAGTGACATCGGTTTGTTACGAAAAAAAATGTTACAAATACTTTAGGCTGAATTATGTGTGTGCTTATTTATATTATAACACGTCAACTGTCAATGAATGCTTTTACGTTAATATTGAATTTGGAGCAAGTAATCTTCTAGTAAGTAACGTGTAATTGCTGTGTTATGATGTCCAAGTCAGCAACATCTGCGCCATAGGTGTTGTCACGTGTCACAACAAGCGCCGGTGATCTCCCGTCGCCTGTCACCTGTCACGTTGTGACACCGCTTTTGTAACTCGCCTCTATTGTTATCGATGTAATCAATACGAAGTGAGTGATAAAACCTTGCCACTGTTGCTACTGTTATTGCGAAATACTTGGATTGCTTTAGCTTATTTGTTTTGTTGTTTAAAAGTTTAAGTAAACTTTTACAACAATCTTTTAAGGTTATAACCTAAAACGATCTTATTCTTATCAGTACTTAAGTGTATTTAAACATATTGATACTACAAAATTAATGAATTAACCAACATTAACTACTTAAAAATTTGATATGTGTTTTCACTAATTAACTACGATTTACAGTTCATGTTGTTATCAAGGCTGCGGGTGCGTTTACGCAACAACGCTGTTACTCGCGGAAAATTGGACAAAATCAATAATCACTCGCTGATCGTACTTGAATTTGCAAATTCAAATTTTGTTTTTATGTAAGTAACTATCAGATAAATGAGTTAACTGAAATAGTTTACTATCTATAATACATGTTTCTGTTAATAGTTCGATTTTATAATCTTGGCATATGATAATGGTTTCAAAGTCGAATGGCGGATTCGAACCAACGACAGTATCATCGGATGTCCATACTTTTAACCATTATAAGTGTATGCTGTTAAATGCCAATATTTTTTTGGAAATAACTTATGACAAGTTCTTTCACGAGAACGATGATTACGTCCCATTATCTTACAGTTAGCGGCAGCGCTCGTTTTGGATCTGTTATTATGGACTCCTATTGTTTTTTTTTACTTTTTTTACTGGCGTGCGGGAATGTTACCAAATTATTTAAATACGTTAAGATTATTTGGAAGCATTGACTGTGTTAAATAGGTACTCTTATTTATATATTTCATGGAAACCTTCTCTCCTATTTAAAATGGAAAGGATGTTTACGCAATTACTAACGCAGTAACTAAGTTAGTAAGTAAGAGTTAATTAAATGGCGTCATCATTAATTTTTGTAGTACAATATTGATACTACAGTTGTTTACAGAAGTTACGAAACTAACAGCGTGGAGACGACGCAACGGTTTTATACAAAATTTCTACGATTATAGCCGCGCTACAGACATGCCCCGCGGCGCCGCTCGCTCCAACCGAAGCCTGTTATTATGTAGCAAACATAATGGAGAGGCTCCATCCCGCCGACGATCCCTTTGATTTGTTTTAGAACAGATACTCTACAGTTAAACGTTGCACGTCGATTGCTTTCAATCTGTTTCTAATAACAATGTTTTGAGTATTACGTTTAAGTTACACAAAAGTCTTTAAATTCTCATAAGTAAGTGACATTTCTATCCATTCCGATAGATATATTATTGAAGAAAATGTAGTTATGATGTAAGACTCTATCTCGATGAAAACTTACAGTAACTGATATTGCGTTAATATTTAATTTTTCCTTTGCGGTGTAGCGTTTCTAACGTAACAAGAATAAAAAAGCGATTACGGTAAATCTCTTCAAAGCGTGTGCAATCCATTTAAAGAAAAATAGCAAGAACACCTTGCTAACTGCACGACGGTAGCTAAAGCTGCTTGTCAACATCACCGTCGGCTGTCGGCTACAGTGAACGAATGATAAAAAGAGCTAGTTATTTTAATAGTGCTTTAGTTCACTCATTCGATCAGAAGCTCTCGTTCACTCGCGCCAGGACCAGACAGGACACGCTCGCTTCTCTGGCGGGATCGTGTCGGTTTTTGCGGCGGTTACGTTACGCAGCGTAAAAGGACCTCGTACCCGCGTAAAAACAGACGACTTTACGCCGTAAATTGAATAGAATGCGACACAAGATTGCGTTTAAGAACGCAGTAAATTGATGTAACTGATGCGTTCATTTTCGGAAGTTACAATGTAATAAACGATGATGAATATGATGTTTTTTATTAACGCTTTACTAAACACTTATAAATCGAGATTATTCAAATAAAGTATCGATGATTATATCCATTCTTATGGACAAATCTTGCATTAAAAGTTAAAAGGTCAATAACTCGCAAAGTTTCATGCAGATACTGATTTTACTCTAAATAAGATGTTTAGATCTCTGTGATTCAGCCGCCGCTGGGGGTGGCGCGTGTCATGACGCGGCAAAATAATGCTCCGACATCTGCGGCATTAGATTGATGATGCGCGCTTCTCACCAGATGGTGCTGTTCGACACATGCCGGCTTATCTTCAATACCATTAGGGGTGTTTTTGAACTTTTCAATAAATTTATTGCATATAGATAAAGTTTATCTATAGCTTCCGTTTCATATTAAGACTATCTTGGAATGTTAATGATGTATTTAATTTCACTACTTTAATAGGGTCATCAATGTGATTGCATAGTAAATATTCCCAATCCTTACAGTTAAAGTTATTTATATCGTTATCTAAATCTTTGTAAGTGCAAGAAAAATTGCCGATTCCTATGCGACTCTGGCAAAGGCGCGATTAATGCTCGTGTGTGGGCGCCGGGCAGCGGACACCGGGCAATGGACACGCTCCGCCTGGCAAGAAGTCTCGGCAGTATTGTCTTAACGGAAAATTCACTTCGCCGCTTTAATTCCCTTTGTTGTGTTTTTTATGCCAATGACGTCATGGGCATTATAAACTCTCTTATTTAAGTACTTAACCTGAATTAAAAATTAAATAGCTTTCTTTGATTTGTTACTAATTAGTAAGATAATAATTTTTGAGTAAGAAAATCTACGTAGATTTTTTCTCTTAGCGGGCTTCTCGTGTTTATTGAAATCTAGAAAATAAATGAGAACTTAGTAAAATATCCTAATTCAGTGTAGGGAAAGAGTTTCGTTTTTATGGAATCACAGATCGAAACAAAGTTCACAAACCGGTCGAGCGATGCGCCCTCGAAGAAAGTTTTGCCGTTTTTTGTTTCGTTGTTGTTGTTTTTTACCACATAATCACAGCTCGCAGTCGCCGAGGTTGGGGGAGAGGAGGGAGGTGCGCACACCAACACACTAAAGAATTATCTCTGGGTGAATTTAATTATCAGGATCGATGAATAATTGATGACGGCAGTCGCCGCGCGCTGCCTCGTCCAGTGATAAGAAGGGCGGACATCAAATTACTGATTATTAGTTTATATTTAGTCTATGTCAACAGTTTAAGAAACCATTATTTCACAGATGCGTTAATTAAATGATTTCTTATACATCTTTTTACGAGGTCTTAGATGTAAATAATTATTATACTTAGTTATAATATACCTACAAATTACCCCAATGTTAAAGCGTAATTACATATACACTCTCAGTTTTATCATATATGTAACTATCGATTACAATGTCACAACATAGGATTGTAAAGCCAGATGCCATAAACGTAGACATGGCGATGGCGTGGGCCGGCCGCTTACGGCGCTGCGCAGCGAGGGCGGCCGAGCCACGTCTGTGTGCTTCCTCGTACTCATTACGGGCCCGGATAAATGCAAGTACATAATAGTGTAATGTACTATACTAGCGTTGGATCAGCTTACCATAAAAAGTACAACTAGAATGCTATTTACTGACAAACTCAACTCATTCGTTACTTTTATAAAACTACCATAGTTAAAGAACTAATTGGAATTGATAGTGTTATCATTATTTATTACGTAATTATACATCGCTCAGAGTGGTTATTCTATAAGTGCTTAGATAAACGATGCACAGTCAGGCAGGTGCGCAGGCGCAGACCGATTGCCCGGGGCCACGGCGGAGGTCTAAGGGCGAAGGCGCAGGATGAGGCATCCCGCGGAGCCCGACCGTGAAATGAGCCCATTGTCCGCGCTCCCACGGCCCTCCGGCCTCGAATTAACTGCCAATCGATAAGTGCACAGACCGGGTCACGACCGCCGGACCTCGTAAGCTAGTTCAATGTTTTAGAACCGTTTAAGTTGTGTAATTTAATAATCAAAACAATTTTTAATGATCGCGAAAACATTGACCCATACACGTATCATAAGGTGTAATATTTATAACTATTTGTTTTTGTTTGGACTTGCAAGTGTAGACACTTTTGGTCTACACTGCGAAGTGAGATTGAAGACGACTCCTTCGAAAGAAAAGTGACCGAATCGAACGAAATGGAAATTCATAATCTTTGTCAGTGTGACTGATCGCTAAGCTGTGTTTTCCAACCGTCGTTAGTGGCGAAGATCCGTCGCGTCGTGTAATCATTGATTTATTACAACATTAAGTTGTTAGTTCTATAATTCACTTTTACTTTCTTTATGGCGAGACACTTTCTTGTAAAATGGAGCAAAAACCATCAACATGT